CCTGTATTCTTACATGGCCTCTTGACCATTATTGTTGTTAAATTAAAATGTGATGCTTTTCTAAGGTGTTATAGGTATATAAATGCTACAAAATGGTCATTTCTTAGGGGCATAATTTGTTTACTGACATCCTGATCATATAGGAGGAGACATTTGGTATATTATAGTAAGTTTTCTACATACAAGGAACCATATACAATGTCAGTAAGGTTATATTTGTGATAGTTACACTCTGATTATAGTGTAAGCTGTTTCATGGCTCCACAGACTGTTTTTGGTTTTTCCATCTAGGTTCAAGTTCATAATTTAGAGAAGAAAGTTTCTTCAGAGAGCCGCCCTTTTGGGGAGCCGGATTTCAATGTGGACGACTTTGTCACTGTTGATGAAATTAACGAGGACGCAGCAGACGCAGACCCCAATGATGAAAGCGACTCTTCAACTAAGCCAAAGTCCACAGAGAATGCGGAAAGTCAAAGCTCAGCTGCATCTCCTGCTTCCAAACGAACCTCAGCAGGGTCCTCCAAAGACTCCAGCAGCTCAGCCTCTTCCTCATCCAAGCCCACGAAATCTTCTGAGAAAAGCAGTTCAACCTCCTCACTACGAAAAAGTAAAGACTCTTTTGAATCCACCAAACCCGAATCCTCTGTGAGTGTCAGTAAGCCGGTTTCCTTTTCTGGTGAGAAAACGCAGCCAAGCAAACCTCCAGACAAATCGTCGCATTCTTCGTCCTCGGGTTATAGGACCCGTTCATCAAAGATGGCATCAACCGCTGCTGCAGAGCTAACGGAGGAGAGTGCAGCAACAAAGTCTGACCTCAAAGTGTCAGCAAAGGAAAATCAAACTAAAATGGAAACATCATCAGAGACACAGCCACCTGCAGAGGGATTAGGGATGAAGAGCCAAACACAGACTCTGGAGACTGAATCTAAGGATGACCCACACAAAGAGTCAAAGAAAAGCAAAGGAGATGGGGAAAAAGACAATGCGGGGAAATATCCACAGGAGGAGGAGGAGGAGGATGATGGTGAAAGTTACCAGATCCTTGATTCGATTGACGAGCCAACAGATGAACAGATAGATGAAGACACAAACCAAGAGACTAAAACAGAGTCATCAGGGCCTGAGCAAACCCAGAGTTTGCATGAGGGGGAAAGTCAGGTCTTGAACAGCATTGATAATAAAGGCTCAGAGGAGTCCAGTAAAACTGAAACGGATGCTCCTCTCTGTGTGATAGACAACGTTAGTGAAGACCAAGCCAGTACAGTCCAAGAGGACAGTCATCTGGTCAAAGATGAAAGTGCCACAGCAAAGCAGCTGTCTGAGGAAAAAATTCAAGAATCAGATGCAGCTGATAAAAAAGAAGGGTTGGATCCAAGCATGAACCAAACTCCAAGGTCCAATGCCGATGGAAAAGAAATGAATGAGGAGATGCTCTCAGAAAAATCAAGCAAAGCTTCCAAAGCTTTTTGCCAAACTCCAAATAATGAAGAACAAGAAAACAAAGGCAGTTCAGCAGATGTTACTAAACAGAAAGCCTCTGAGAAGTTAGATTCAGTCAATGATCACACCAGAGGAGAAGATGACGAGAAGAAACTTAATACTTTGAAAGCAGTCACTGAAGGAACTGAAGAAGAGGAAGAAGCTTACCAGGTAATTGATTCTGTGGAAGAAGAGCCACCGACCACAGAGACCGAGACAGAGGCTGAGAACAAGGAGGAAAAAACCAAGAAAGACGTTGAAGTGGCTAAACGAGCTGAAAGACCAACAAGGAGGGGTAGACCGAGAACAAGAACATCTAAAAGAGAGGAGAAAGAGACACAGGAGGAGATGATCTTTGAGGTAGTGGATTCTGTTAAAGATGAATTTGTTCAAGATGTCTCCACCACAGAGAGGCCTGGTAGAAGGAGGTCGGCCAGAGGAAACAAAGAAGATAAAAAGACGCCAACTTCCACAGTTGCATGTATAAAACCCGTCAGGGAAGAGGAATCTACGTCCGAGATCCTAG